TTGGATAATCACAGCCTGGTTGACATTTCTCGGGCGATGCGTCGGTCAAACGACAAAACGATTTCGTCATTTTTTCGAATGATCGAGCCGTGAGAATGGACAACGACAGGAATCCCGGAATCTGTGAAAATTCGGAACCGTGTTAGTGATCGAACGATCCCTCCTTTACAAAAGGAATGGATGTACATAAGTTTCGGCCGGAAATTTTTTCCCTTCCTTTTTTTTTTTTTTTCTTTTCTCACTTAACCATAAAATCGTACTTAATCGATCGATAATAATAAGGATGATGATAATTGGGGGTGGGGGGGGGAGAGGGATAATATAATAATTAATAAATATTCGACGGTTGATGGGCGATTGAAACGAGCGCCGTGGCGCGGACGACCGGACTTCGAAATGACACACTCTTTGACACGGCACTAACGATCCCTTGAAATTCTCTCACGTGTATATATATATATAAAACCTACTACGGCGTAATGAATTCTTAAACATAAGAAGAACCGATAAGAAGAACCCGCGAGTTTTGGGGTCGGCACTGATTCCATGATTTTCGTATCGGTTAATATATATATATACGTGTATATTAATATCTGTGTGTGTGTGTGTATGTATTCGGCCACGTGTGTGTGCGTCGTGTGTACATGTACTCGAGTGTATGTATATTTTAAATACGTGTGTATGTGTGTGTGTGTCTGTGTGTGTGTAATAGTATGTGGTAATAGTAGTAGTAGTAGTAATAGTAGTAGTAGTAGTAGTACGTAGTTTTCATTTTAGAAATTCTTTTTTTTTTTTTTTTTTTTTTTTTTTTTTTTTCTTTTTTTTTTTTCGTTTTCGTTTTCGTTTTCTTTTTTTAAAGACGTTGCGTGAGACGAGCACCCTGTATACGTGATTGACAAATTTGCGTTAGGAGAGACCGCGTCGGTCCTTTCCACGGAACACCACTACGTATCGTAAGAAACGATATCCTAACGACCTTCCTATCCGCGATATTATTAACGCGATGATCACCTTTGTTCGACGAAAAACCGAAAAAATCCTAAATCCGGATATTCGACGGTTTTGTTGTATCTTTGGTTGCTTGTTGGAAATAAAAAAATTGGCAAAGTTTGCGTCCACTTCTCTAAAAAAGGCGATACAAACGAATTCAACCGATACACACTGGACTCGTGTTTCCCCTAGAGAAATCTTTGAAATAGGTACTTTCTTTCGTATTTCTATGGGTCGAATCGCGGTAATAGTTAACTTTTTTTTTTTTTTTTTTTTTTTTAAACAGTCGGTCGGCTACAATCGCCATGCCGCTTCGTCAGGAACTAAGAGTTTTCTTTTTTTTTATTTTTTCTTTCTTCTTCTCCCTCTTCTTCTTCTTCTTCTTCTTCTTCTTCTTCTTCTTATATCTTCTCTTGTATCTTCTTTGGTTTACCGTTACCTGGAAAGTCGCCCGCACTTGAACGTTTTTTCCCATCACGTGATTTATCAAACTATTTAAGAGTTAGCGTGTCGTCGGAACGATAAAACCTGGCCGAGAGGCTCTTAAAGGCTCCCGTTTAATTTCTACTTGTCCCGGATGATCGGATGATAAAACTCGTTACTAGGACGACGACGACGACGACGACGACGACGACGACGATGAGGACGACGACGTCGTCGTCGAGAAGAAACGCGTATCGAAAGATTTTATTATTTTTTTTTTTTTTTTTTGCTCCGTTATTCCGATACGGGTTCTCGTTTGGCAGTAGGGATCGAGAGTGAAGAACGGAAAACTATGTATAAAATATAATAAGATGTAGGAAAATAAAAAGAAGAGGATGAGAAAGATCGACGCGTGTTCCGTTCTTTTTTTTTTTTTGTTTTTTTCTTTTGTTTTGTTTAGTAAAAGGATTAATCGTATCCGAGCATCCGAGAGTGTTCGTTTTGTTCGAAGCGTGAATCCTATTCTCGCGTTTTCCTTTCTTTCTTTCTTTCTTTCTTTCTTTTCTTTTCTTTTCTTTTCTTTTCTTTTCTTTTCGCCTTTCTCTCGGACTGACTGGGTTCAGCGCTGGACATCCAATGTGTTCTCATTAGCGTTATCAGCCTCTTCGTCCTCGCCGCGTGGCTGCCGGCGAAGTCAATCTACTGACTTCTAATTGTTATCCTCTAATTAATTTATCTAACTAGTATACTAGATTATTATAGTGGAGAGCGTTGTAACGGTGATTCAAACTCATCACTTCTGATCGTCGAGCGTTCAATAAGCCCGTGTTCTTGTACGACATCTGAAATTAGAAATGTTCGATTCCGTTTAATTTAGTAGGGAATTGAAAACGAAAAAGATGGGGGGACGTGCTCGAATAAACAATATTTCTCTACAATTATTCGAACGTTTTTATTTTTATTTTTTTTTTTTCTTTTCCATATATTGTTAAATACGCGGGGATTATTCTCCTCTCCTTTCTTTTCTTTTCTTTCTCTTCATCTTTCTCGAAACTTACTCTGTGGGTTATGATGTAGGGTGCGTATCGTCCAGTTTCTCTAAGCTAGGACTTTGGTTAGTATGGCCGGCTTGCGTCCTTGGGCCTCTTTAACTGGACTTTTAAACGCTTCATCCCTATCTGGAAGCCATTCATCGCTTGAATTGCTGTCTGCGCACTCGCTGGATTGTCGAACGACACGAAACCTGAAAGAATAAATAACGATAAATTTTCCCGATCGGCGAAATAATTAAATTAACGAGGATCGAATAAGAAAGGGAGAACATTTCTTTTAAATAAATTGCTTTCGCGTGAAATAGAGGAGAAATATTAGAAAACTTGGCATCTGCCTACTCGAGATGGACACCGAATCCTTTCCTTTCCACTTGAATTCGGATCCAAGAAATTGGTCGCGATATTCCTCGACTTTACGATGAAAACGGGAAGTTGAATATCGACACCTGGGGGCATAGGGATTATCGCAAAGGGCCTGGTAACCAGTGATTTAGATTAGCTGATTCGCCGCGAGGAATAAAAAGTTTTCTGAAAGGGGGGGGTCTCGGTCTACTATCGAAGTTTTATCGAGAATAAGAGAAAGGGGGAGGAGGGAGAGAGAAGGTGGACGATAACGAAGCTCTTAACAACAGAAGCGCCACTGAAAGGTCATCAGGGCCCTCCCAGTTTAAGCCAATTTTGACCATTAGCCCCGATCCAATTTTAGTTTTGCCATCATGGCGGCCTATTGCCTGACCAATCGCGGCTCCTCATCGCTCAACGGCCACCGCTTTTACCCAGAGTTCGTAAATTACTTTTACTAGGTGACTGAAGAGGCTTTGCCTCCCCTCTGTTCCACGGAAAAGAATTCCTTTCCTCCTCCCGCAATGCTCCTCCCTTCTTTATCGAATTTCAAGCAAATAATCGTAATCTCGTCCAATACTACTACTTTTAGAGGAGTTATAAATATTCTTTAATCAAATTCGAATATATATATATATATATCTTTTGTAGTATCCGAGAAAGGTCAAAAATAATAAAATTTATTTTCATGTATTCATTCACAGAAGGTAAATATATTCCAGACATTGAATAAATTCTCTGATCTATAATTTTCTATCTACGAGGATATATCTCTTGTAAATCATTTTCACAAACATTTTCTCGTCCATCATTTGTTTCGATTATAAAGAAAAGTATTTTATTTAGCTATTTCGATAATTCTTTTTCATCGTTATTATAACTTTTTCCCCGAAAATTGAGTCGATTTCAAAGTGTAGGCCCCCGGATGCTGAATGATATGCGCACTTTGGGCATCCCCCTTTTCATCAACGTTTCGATAATTACACGGGGAAAGGCGCGCATAACGAAACCGAGAATATAAAGAACAGCATCCTTTCAACGGATGAAATTCATCCGACTGTATCTGTCGCGATAATCGGCACCGATAGGCAGAAAAATATTAATCGCGCTAGTTACGAATGAATAGGCTAAGAAGAATATATCAGGGAATATATCCGTCCAATTATCCGCACTCATATTTGCGCATTCATCCCGGCTGCACGATTAATCAAAGCTGTCGCTGCTGTAGGTTTTTCAGGTCTTCCTTTTGTCCCGATCCCTTCCGATTTAACCAAAAGGACCACCTAGTTTCATTTCAGTCGAGTCACAATCGGACGAGTATATTCACTTTTAATAAAAAAAAAAAAAAAAAAAAAAGAAAGAAGCAGTCGCAGTTCATCAAGTTGTAAAATCGAGAATAATCTCTCGTGCTCGACGAGTTGAATATTTTACGTATGAAAGGATACAATTTTTCGAATTCTAAAAGATAATTCATTTTTATCTTTACTACATATGGAACAGACATATAAATTTTTCGATAATTCAAGTTTCTTTTCGTTTCGATTTTCTTATTTATTTACACGAAATAATTTAACAATTTTGGAAAATACGCGCAATTCCTTGTTGTTCGATAAGAAACGAGAAAAGTTTAAGTTAAGTTAAGTTAGAACAGCGAGGGAAATAAATTAGGGAAGGGAAAATTTTCGTCACCACGACCAAGAGAAGCTTCCCCCAAGCTTCCGAGTCTTAGCCATCCTACCTGTCGTCAACGGCCATTCGTTTTCCCGTTCCAAGGGCCACTCTTCCAAGTGTTAAATGACTTACACTTACCGAAGCATTTGCTCTGGTTGGTGGCCCGATCGATGAAAACCTTGGAGGATATGACGTTGCCAAAGGGGATGAACATCTGCATGAGCTCACCGTCACCGAACTCTTGAGGCAGGTGGTAGATGAACAGGTTGCAGCCTTCGGGTCCTGAGATAGAGCATCCTACCATATAAATCAGAGCACATCTAAACATCTAAACTTGAAGTATAATACTCAAGTTAGAATGTTAGTTTCTTGGATGAGTTTCGTTCTTCGCAATATAATGATTCCGACGCGATAGGGAGAGTATGCACACATTCCTCTCTCCCAGATTCTTCAACGATTCTCGTCTGGATGCCTTTCTTTTTTTTTTCTTTTTTTTTTTTTTTTTTTGATGAATGAAGATGAAGATTCGTGACCGTCTTTGACAATGACAATCTGATTTCTCTCTCGTCGCGCGGAAATTTCAAGGATGATTTCTTTTTTTTTTTTCAATGAATCGCGTCACTTTCGGGATTCGAAAAGAGGGATACGAAGAAGAAGATGCAAGGGATGATTGATCTGGACTGATTGACTGGTTGAAAGTGAGATGAGGGGAGAGAGGAAAGGAAAGAGAACGAAGAGATGAAGAATGAAAGAAATGGATCGAGGGGGAGGGGGAGCCGACGAAGAGAGTAATGATTAGAATGTCACGACGATGTTTGTTTACGACAATGAGTTTCTTCCCGGTTCAAGTAAAAAAACGTTGAGTATTTATACTTTCAAATATACAAACACACAACACTGGGACTCACAACACAATGACGAGCGAGGTGAAGGGATATTTTAAAAAAAAAAAAAAAATGAATGCAAATGGATATTATATAGGAGGTGTTGGTGACATAGTGATGATACTGTGATTACGATGGTGCGACACTTTACATGAGAATGCCAGACATCCGTTGATCCGTCGTCATAACGCTACGCAATCATAACTCGATCCCCCTGTTTCGAATGGACACGCGATTTGCGTGAAAATAAACTCGCCCACCCCTTTTCTTCCCCCTCCTTTCATTCTCTCCCCAAAATATCTTACGCTCCTCCAGATGATTTCTTCCTTCTTTTCATCCCTCCATCCCTTCCTTCCTTCCTTCCAAACTACTCTCGAAAGTAGTCTCAATTAAAACGGGGATGACGCGTGTCCGTTCGTTTAATTCTCATTAAACGTTCAAACAACGAAGCGCAATTCCTCCTCCGATTATTATATATTCGATCCGAACGAACTTTGACAACGAAAAGAACAAAGAAAGAAGAAACAAAAATTCTTTCGTTTAATTCTTAGCCGCGAGCTGATATATATATATATAAAGACACCGGCGATTAATTGGCGAGAGGGGAGGGGGGATTGAACGAAAGAGGCAAAGGAAGGAATAACGAGAGTCCAAATACGGATTTAGCTAATTTCACTGAACTTTATAACTCCGACGTCAATTAGCGGCGATTATGACCGTGGAAACTTGCTCTCTCTCTCTCTCTCTCTCTCTCTCTCTCTTCTCTAACGGACGCATTTAAGTAATGAGATGGCTGCCACTCAACTTTTAGGATGCTACTCATCGCGACTCGTTCGTTCCCGAGATTCCGCTCTTCTGTCACTTGCACGCCTTTTACGAACGTTACCGTGTCGAATTACCGCGAGAGAGAGAGAGAGAGAGAGAGAGAGAGTGTAATTGTCCGTTTCCAGCCAACGATCGCGGCTCTCGTTCATTTCATAGTTCTTAGTCGATTATAGCTCCCTCTACGGCTCTCAAAATGGCCGCCAGTTGACTGAGTTTCGGGGACGAGACTTTAACGTGGAAGCAATCTAATTAATTGCTTAATAATTTCATCGAATATTTTCCTATTCATCTGTTGAAATTTTAATTTTACTGGAACAAAGAGCAAAGAAAAAGAATTCTTTCGTTTAATTCTTAACCATTGATATATAAAAATATTAATTGGTGAGGGAAAAGGATTAAAGGAGGGAAGGGGAAATAAATGAAATAAAATAAAGGAGCGTAGAATTTTCGACGGAGTACTTTTATCGTTTCAACGTTGTAACGTTGGTTTACGCAAAGAACGAACAAATGTTCTCTCTTTCGTGGGAGACTTGGTCTCGGTAATAACTCGATCGTAGTTGTCACGTGAAACCCAAATTAGAGCCGGTGTCGACGGGTTTCCGGTTCCGAGGAAGGGGGAGAATGGAGGAGGAATTGCGGTGGACGCCGGAATCACGAAGAACGAGCTATAAATTTAACCACGCCGTCGTGCCATGCGATCGTTGATCCTGAAATTGGTTTTCGACTCTCTAATTGGCCCACGCGCGGGACGTGCACGCGAATTTAATGAAAGCAACACCTCCCGCAACCTCGAGGGGAGGAGTAGTTGCTATCTCCACCGAGCGGAGTGAAACGTTAAGATGAGTATCCCGTTCGAGCTAATATTCGAAATCCTTTCGTTTTATTCCAAACGAGAGTGTGCTATTAACATTCTCGAATTAATTAATAATTTTCTACTATGTGCATGAAAAAGTATATAAGCACGTTTTTTTTTATATATATAAATATTCAACTTGGAAATCGTTGAAGTTGAGAGAAAATGCAATTAATGTAGTATCGCAAAATTATTCTAAAAATTCGAGTTAAATTTCTCTCATTTTCACAAAGACTCCAAAAGAATTAATTAACTCGGTTCTTTTCATCAACGCTTCTTTTCATCATTTTCAACAACGCTTCCGAATGGAAAATTGTCTTTTTCCAAAATTAAAAAGAACAAAAGTTCAAAGATCGATCCCCGACCACGATTCGACGATCCTTCGATCTTATGGACGAGCTTACGTACATCGATCGAAACCCTTGATAAGTGCACACTCTATACATTTAATGCTATGTATACGGATTTGATCGTCGTGGGAAAGCAACGATCAATGTTTGTCGACAGCGCAAAACACCGAGCACAGCTAAGAATAGTGACATTGAGTGCAACGAAAACACACCGATATAACCCATCCAAAGAATGAAATGTAGAGTTTCCGTGGAGCTTGGTCGGAGAATATCGACGTTGATCAAGAGAAGAGAGATAGACACGAACACCGAGAACACCTTGTAAGACGTATATATATAATATATACACTGAGAACAGATTAAAGAAGCAACAAAAAAAAAAAAAAAAAAAAAAAAAAAAAAAAAAGAAAGAAAGAAAAAACGAAGCGACAGTAAATATAAAATTGATATAACGATGTCGTGCAACGATGACAAGAGAGAGTAAACTATATCGTTCTTCTGGTGTCGCCGTCGTGTCTTCTTCCATTAGGCTCTACTCTCTCGTTCGCTTCGCAATTTCAACATACATTTGAGGGGGGAAAAGATAAAATAAATCGATATCGAAATATTTTCAAAAACTTGTCGAGAATACATCGAGAATAAATCGTAACAATACGTACTCGTTCATCACTGAATCTCGTTTATTCCTTTCAGAATTTGTTGTTTCTTGATTCAGTGAAACAAAGAATGGTGATCTCTCAATTTTGCTCGAATAGTTCTCCTAAAAAGGAAAGCTGGCAAATTTTACAAAGAATCCCCCGCCAATTCTTTCGATCGATCTTTCGAATTCTTTAACGAATCAAATCTCTCTCTATGAAAGCATATTGCGAAAAATGTATCAACGTGATACGCGTTTGGGGAGGGAGGAAAAAAACAGGGGAAAGGCTTTGGCGGAAGAGGGCGGAAAATAGGGAATATCGAGGGGGAGGGTTGGAGGGGTAGGGGAAACGCTGTCGCGGTAAACTTCCCATTATCCTACGATGTAACAACGGATCGCCGGCAGGCGTAACGGCAAAGTAATTAAAACTTTCGTTTTATTTGCATTATCTCATTGTTAGGCGTCGTATATTCTAATAATGGCGAGTTGTTAATTGCAATTAGGCGCTTGCTCCGCTCGCCCTATCCTCTTTCTTTTCTCCCGCTTATCCGCCATCTTTAATCCCCTCCTCTCTCTCTCTCTCTTTCTCTCTCTCTCCTAGAATGATTCCCTCTCTCTCGATTTCGATCATCGAATTGATTAATCGCGGCCTCGCGAGATTAATCGATCGAGCTGGGATTAGGATCGAAGGAAACGAAACGTGAGACGACGATGAATTTTCGAAAATTTTCGGCGCTGCTCGCAAAGTGGAGACGAAAGTTCGTCGACGATTGTAGGTCATCCCTTGTGAAAAGAGTAACGAATCGAATGGCTTTGGGAAAGAGCGCATCCTAGCGACAGTGGCGCCACGGTGCGATAATAGATAGAACGGAGAGGTGGATTGAGAAAGGTAGGATAGAGATTTTTCAATTTCCAGGTTCGTTAAGTTGAGGTTATTCGAATTTATGGTGTTATGGTGTCGGTGATAAATAAAATTCTTTTTCGAAGAAACTTTGTAAATTTGTCTCGTTTCGTTTTCTTCTCTAATCTTTTTATATCTTCCTTCGCCCGCGAATATATCGGAAAAATTCGTTTTCTAGCGAGTAGTCCATACATTTTTCGTTCAAATACACGAGGAAGAATAATCTTCCTCTCCCCTTCCCCTCCCTCCCCCTTCGCAATTGTGTACCTTGCACGATGTTACGACGAAGGATAAACTCGTGTCTGGTCGTTTGGGAGTTGGATCTACAATCTCAGGACTACAATCATTCGTGTTTACAGTCAACAGTTAGACGTTGATGAGTGTTTTGTACTTACCTTCCCTCTGCGTGGGTGCCACAGCGGTCATCGGCTGAGGAATAGCTTGAGGAAACTGGCCGTAGACGGCGGGATAAGCTGCGACAGTAACAAATAACAAATACATCATGATGTGTCCACATCTATACACGCGGTGCATGCCGTTTCTTATTCTTCCTATTTTCGCTTCCGTAATATACAGCTTCGAAGTGGCCATCAGTGTTTTCGTGTAAAAAAGAAAAGAAATGAAAAAGAAAAGCAAAATCGTGTTTCACCGTTTCAGAGACGAAAGGGCAAATTTTCCTCCTCTGGCTAGCCTCTCTGGCTTCCAAAAAAATATTCAACCCTCAACTTTAACTCTCTTTCTCTCTCTCTCTCTCTATATATATATATAAAAGAAATAAAACTCGTCGATTATTCTTCTGACAAAATATCTTTCGTACTTAAATTGCATGAGAAAAATGTATGTGAAATGAATCACCCTTAGGCGCGATTATAACATCCGTAGAATCCGTTTTTGTAAATTTTAATTATCCAAAAATATTGTAAATCTCACACATATCTCGAAATTTTTTTTTCCTTTTTTTCAAAGATGCTGAATATTTTTCGGAAACCAAAGAATAACTAGCTTTTTTACATACCTATATACATNCGAAATTAATAAAAGGTAAACTGCATGGTGGACGTCAATCGAGTTAATGCGAAATTGCATTGTTGTTCGGTCGAGAAATAATTATGGCAGGACAGTTTATAATTGCTCGTAACAAAACATGGAAGGAACGATGAAAACAACCGCGTTTAATTCACCCGAAAAACGAAAATGGGGGGAGGTGCGATACCCCCGCTAAATTCTCTGCTGCTCGTGGAATTAACGAGAAGTGTAGTCTAGCGGCGTCAGGTGAAAGGAAAAAAAGTCACTAGATGGAGAAGTCTCGTTTTCACCACCATCACAACCGCCGCGTTGCGGTCTTTTCCACGACGAGGATATTCGAGCCTCAACGTTCTCACCGTTCTCCTCCATACTTTTAACACGATACTTTTGTATCTCGCAACGCTCCTATCGGATATTACCGACATTAACTGTCACGCGATATCCTTTTAAAGTCTTGCAACGTTCCGTCTGTCCCCTCATAATGCGCGGAGACGCATGCGCGTTACGAAAGTAAAAAGGCAACGGTTTTCGAGAGTCGAATCGGAGATAAACTGTCGCGTTGGAGGAAAAGAAAGACGAAAAATTGTATTATTTTTTGAAATAACTACGAATTAGAGAAGAATATATCGAAAAGAATTGAAGAAATTGTTATATTTTCAACTTGAAGCGTCGTGAAAAATTCTTTCTCGAGATTAAAAGCGAACTCTTTCGAAAAGGAATTATTTCGAAACAATTTCCAATCGTCGGAATATTTGGACGGCGGGAGGGATGGAATGGTGGATCGGTGGAAACGAGCACTTTTGCTACATGATATTAGAGAAAAGCAATTATAACGGCATTAATTATACCTTGGCAAATATTTAAAACGCGCGGGCGATTGATATTTGTTTGTGACGGATGAATGTGGAGAGGGATGATCGGGGGGGGGGGGGGGGGGGGAGGGATACGCGGTTCGCTCTCTCAGATCAGAAGAGGTAAATTTTCGCTTGGAAATTAATTATTTCCGTGCAAACATTGCTTTAATATATTCCGATTGACGTTAGCGGAGGTTTCGCTCCAACGATGGTCCCGACATTTGGCGTATGAAATAAATACGCCATCATGTACCGCCGTCGGTTACCGTTCGCCCGGATAGAGCGGACACGCGATATTTCGGATTGCTTTTTTTCCACTCGCTGATCTCCACGCTTCTGTGTACATTGGACGAAAATACACAGAAAAAGAATATCCTATTTTCGAGTCTTTGGCAAACACGGGGAAAACCAGCGGGGCGACTCCGCGTGTACGAACGTCATACCTCAAATTTGATGAATTTTTACCAAATTCGGTTGTGCACGCGTACAGACACGGGTAAAAGAAGGGTGGATATCTAAAAGGTGGATAACTACCGGGTTAATGGGCGGAACAAGGAAAGAATACATAGGATGGGAAGGGAGGTTCGAAAATTCTTATTTTTAATAACGAAGTAATTGTAATGAGTTTTTCGATGATAAATCTCAACATTTTTTCATATTTTGATTGAGAATATTGTTGGAAGGAGAATAATAGAGCAGAGTGTGAATTTTGCTCTACATCTTAATGTTACGAAAAAAACAATAAAAGTTTTAAGGATTGTTTTAATCAAAATGATATTCGAAAGAAGAAAAAGAAAAGAAATCGTCCGTATAACTTCAAAACCAAGGTTTCCATTATTTTTGATAACTTTTTAGCTCAACTTACACGCAAGTAAATTTTTCCGACTATTGTAACTTTGTGCAGAGTGTGGCAAGTTTGTGTATAACCGGATATAGATGAAGTTATTCTGTGTGCAAAAATAAATGAAAAATTTAATATAAAGTTTCTGAAAAAGCAAAAAAAAAATGCTGAATTGGATACAAAAGAACAATTAGTACTCTACACGTGAAAATGAACAAAAATTTTTTCGCTTGACATTTCGTTTTCGAGAAAATTTAGTTCGAATACATGTATACTTGAATAAATCTTGTCCAAACATGTTCAAACTTCATTTTATTAAAAAAAAAAAAAAAAAAAAAAAAAAAAAAAGACCCGAAACAAAAAATTCTACTCTATATTTTTGATTTACTTTCACATGTGAAATAACTCCCTACCAATTTTCCACCCGTATTCAGTTTCACCCTGGAATTAATCCATTCGCGTTGAATAACAAGTTAGAAACACGGCGTACAGACATTTATTATTATTATTATTATTTATTGGTTAATAATCCTAGACAAATTATTATAAAGAACAAAAATTCGTTTGAAAAGAGAATTATATGAGTAAAGACGAATTATAAAAATCAATAATTCAATTATCAAATAAATTTTATTTTTTATATATTTTTATAAATTTTTTAATTATATAAATGAATAATATACAAATTAATTTATATAAAATATAAATTATAATCAAATACAACCAAAAAAAATTAACCAATAAAATTATAATATATAACAATAAATTCAACCAAAAATTAGATTCGAAGATCATTTTCTTTTCGACTCTGCTGTTTATTTTGATTAATTTTGATCAATCCGGAAAAGTATAAAGAATCACTACCTAATTGATCGAATACGCGAGATATTTCAATGTCGAGACTTGTATTATTTAAAATTTGAAAGGAAAAAAAAAAAAAAAGAAATTAATATTTCAACGTATTATACGTTAAGTGACCGTGACATATCAATTCCTCTTCCAAGGAAGAAGATTAAAAATTATCTTGGCACGCGTTAAACGCGAAAACTCGAAAACAATTTTGCGACAAATTTTATTACATCCACGTTTTCCCTTCTATCTTCACACCGTGGAGAACTCTCGCCGTATCGCGTACGGAGTGTTGCCACACCCTGCACCCTATTTATACCCGGAATAATTGTTATCACGTCAAGGTTTCCGCGGTTCGATGTTTTTACAGTCGATAATGACGGGCTGGTTACACGAGACTTTCCACCGTGAAACACCAATTCTCGCTCGCTCTGTTATTAATTTAACCATTGGGACAGAGAATTCATCAAACCCCGCGCGTTAATTGCTAACGGTGAGCGGAACGAATCGAAGTATAGTTACGTCGGCACGTTGATTATCTCTGAAACGGAATCGTCCATTTTGATGTTGGTTATTGGATTATAATTTCTGCCCCGGTGTATATCGCATTTTGATGTAACATCGTTCGGGTCTTCGACAGCCGATTATAACGTCGGCGTGTTGTTTGCGTATCGATGAACATGCACGGTACACGATGCGCTCAAGAGTTATGATATATATATATATATACATAATATATATATATAATGTACACGAAGTATATTATAAAAGAACATCGAAATTACACTGTAGCAGCACACCAGAAGCATTATATAACGCGTCTATATATATATATATATATATACACGTCTATATATACATATAATATATACGATATGTATATAATAATCACACGATGATAACGTCGATACATTGGTGTTGTTGTGTATACGTATACAGGATGGATGAATCAATTAAAAAAAATGATAATTTTTCTTGCATTGTCGAGAAACATTGGGTTGTGATCGCTGAGAAATGTTGAAAAGGGACATCAGGAGTAGAATTTTCGTCCCTTAGGGTTCCATCCTGTATGCGTACGCGTAGTGCATGTATATGTATTTATATACATTTACGTATAATATACGTATATAAATGTACACATGCGACCAATAGTTGCATGCAACAGCCATGAAACGCGATCAGCGGAATCGAATTTTTCAGAGTTAAGTGCTCGAGTGCTCGGATAAAAGCATATTAAAATCGAACGTTCGGATTCATTTGCTTTCGCTTTTCTTTTTTTTTTTTTTTTTTTAATTCCATTCCTCTTCGCTTTAATAAATCGTTCTTTCGAAATTTATCGCTCGATTCGACGAAATGTCAGATTTTATTCGCGAACGATATAATTATCCAATTTTGTCAAATGATAATTTCTCCTTTCTTTCTTTTTTCTTTTTAACCTTTTTAAAACTCGTTACGGAATCCGATTTGGATCGCTGAATCCTGTTTGGCTAGGCTTCTCGTGCTGTTATCGAAAAAAGCACACTACTGAAATGCGTTTGGTTGAAAGTTGGATGAAAAACTCGTTGCAGATACGGAAGGCTTGACGGAATTCTCGATAGAAGGCGAAGAGGGAAAGAGTAAATGGGGAAGAAAAAACTTACCGACACCGGGGTAGGGTTGCATTCCAGGATACGCGGCGGCATGCTGGAGTGCCGCCTCCCCATTAGGCAGCCCTTGTGCTGGAATGGACAGATGGAGGGCATCTACACTTCAGTAAGCTCAGCTCTTATCGGGGACGGACCTACGTCTAGGGCCCCTGTCGCAATACGTGGCTGACCAATCGATATCGCACGGTATTCTTGGATCCCTCGTTAACTTTAATCTGATTTCACGCGAGGTAGGAAGGCGGAGGGGGAGGGGGGAAAAAAAAAGATCCTCTACGTCTCCACATTCTCCCTCTCTGCTTCGCGCCAAACCAAGATCGAAAAGTTTCGATCTTTCAGCATTTATTATTACACTCCTCTCTATTAAAAATCATTCTCGAAATCGGGATTTTTCGTGAACGCGGCCGTTCGATACTTAACAACCCCCTCCCCGCTTTATCGCGAAGAGGGAGGAGGCAGAAAAAGAAGGGAAGGAAGGAAAGGAGAGGAAAAAGATTTTTCCAAGAAGAAGAGGAGGAGGAAAGAAAGGATCGAGGGTAACCCCCTGGTGGTGTCTGGGGCGAGGTTACCCGCTTCTCATCGCGAAGGCAAAATAATAAAGTCCGGCGTCGATTGGCCGAGCATTGCGCAGGGGCGGCACACTGCGCCTGAGTTGATACTCACGTCCCGGATAGGTCTGCGGTATCCCGTTGGTGTAGACACCAGGATCCGAACCTGCTGGTTGACCATTCGGTGTTTGTGCAGCCATGTTGAAATTGGGCATCGTTGGCGACGGTAACGACGGTATCGCCCCGTTAACAGGCTGCCCTGTACCGGTACCTACGAGCAAACCTGATCAGTACACACCGGTTACCCTCTTGCTCTTACAACACCGACCCCTCGGTCACCCCCTCCCTTCCCTCCCTCCCTCGCCGCGAGGCCATCGGATCTCCAACCGGATCGCGCTTGCCCCCCTCTCCCTCTCTCTCTCTCTCTCTCTCTCTCTCTTGTCAACCGATTTGCACCGATATATTTACGCGGCGCGCGCGCGCGCGTGTGTACCGTGTAATTGGAAGGACGCGCGAGACCTCGCGTTCCCTGTTTGAGGACCCGGCCGCGGATGGATCCCGCAGATTTCTGGGATATCGATCCCAGATTTTAGAGGCGATTAATGTAACGCGACTCGCGGTTGAATATCGCCACAGGTTAACGATACACAGGGACTCGTTTTGTTTCTCTTAGGATGATCTCGATATTCTTCACTTTGGGATCTTGGTGTAGGGATATTTTTAAGGATTTTTAAGGTTTTGCTTCAGAATCAAAATTGTTGGAAGAGTAAGTTTTTCAGAATGAATTTTTCAGAGGACGATTTTAGCTTCGAAATGGGATTGTGAGACAGAGCGTTTTTCAAAATAAATGAATATATGTATACATATTCAATGTGTATGAAAGAGCAATAAATTACGTGATAATACACTTTAGGAAAAAATTATCTTGAAAAATAGAAAAGTATTTCTAAGAAAATATTCTTGAGAAATTTGAGATATTTCTTGAGAAAAGTATTTCGAATTTTGTATTATATAATGGGACACGCGAAGATGAAAGGTATATAACAAAGTATCTCTCTAGACATTTAAGATCGTTTCTTTACGATTCGAGAGAAGAAAAGAGGGATAAAATTTTCTTGTTGCAAGTGATTCGAGATAAAAATAATATTTTTTTACCACGTTCGCTATTCTAAATCCCTTCAACCGCATCCGTCCACTCTTCTACATACAAATCGCCCCCCCTCTCCTTCCCAGTACTGAAGAATTGACAGGTGGAACGACGTATACCCCGAAGAAATAAAAGCGCGCGACCAATCTGCCGGCGCGTGGCGTGGCGAGCCGTTGGAAAAGATCGAAAGGAAGGAAGGAAGGAAGAAATAAAAATATTATTTTTCCCTTATCGAACGGTATTATCGGTGTTTCGAGAGGCTCGAAAGTGCGCCAGAACTCTACCGTTGGAGAGCCGATTTCCTCGCTTAGTTTACCTGGCCGTGCGCTATTTCGTTCCCTCCTCTTGTGCACGCGTAGGCGAATCGGAGGAGAACTGGGGAGGAGGGGGGAGGGAGGTTGAAGGGAAGGAGGAAAAAAGGAGGAAGGAACACGGTGCCGCCACTTTGGCTTTTCCTCCTTCCCTCGTTCGGCGGGCGAGGCTTTCGATAAAGTTTCGCGGTACTGGCAATATCTTTCGCTCGAGTCACGCTCGGTGAAAATGTTGTATTGATTTATGAGCCGGTTATAAGGCAACGGACTGTACGCGCTCTCCTGGATCCGCGGGAAAAGGAATAAATGGGGAGAGGCGGGGGAGGAGGGTGGATAAAGAAAGAAGTTTCGCCCCGGTGAAACTGGGAAATTTCACAACAAAGTGTACATAAGGGGGCGGGACTGTATATTTTTCCTCGCGTGTCCCATTTATTTCGAATAATTTCTCGGATATTCACCCTCCCCTCTCTCCTTTCTTTTTCTCTCCTCTTTTAAAATTTTCGCAGAAACATATTTCCTTCCAAAGTCCTTCCAAGAGCCGGAGCAATATGTATATAATTCCTTCTTCCTTAATTTTTCGACGCTACTTTTTCTATTTTTATTAATTTGATTAATTTTTCCACGATGTGGAATTCGCGAAAAATACTCTTTCTTTATTAGTCTGGCTCTTAGTTGTTATCGATATCGGGGAACGAGAAGTAGGAATATCGTATGTTGATCGTAAATGGAATAAAATAAAAGACGTACCGGAAGTCGGTGGAACAACAGGGTTTGGCATGCCGTTCAACGCGTGCGGCAGTTGGCCGGCGCCAACGTGTGCCAATGCTGCCATTGGATTGATATACGTCCCCTGTGCTGTTGCTGCGGCCATCAGAGCTGCTTGCTGCTGTAAGTAGAATCGTTTGTGTCGAAAATTAATCTAGAATTTTTCTCGCGAATTCGAATAGATTTTTTTTCAATTTCGAAAAGACTTTGATAGGTGATATCGAGTGACGCCGGTCTCCATTTCTAACAAGATGGAAACAATTACAGGTTGCGATAATAAGAGACGCTAACACAGGGGAGAGAAGCATTAACCGTAATTGTGACCCACCTGAGCGTAAGCGCCGTAAGCGCCGAACTGATTGAAGACGTTGAAAGGGTTAAGGAGGCTCATGTTCCCGGCCATTTGCTGCATGCGTCTTAGTTGTCTCTCTTTCTCAGTATCTGCGAACTTTACCACTAAGCTGGATGACGCACCCTGAAATAAACCATTTCGATTTTCCACGTTTAATTATCGAAATTAATTATCGTGATACACAAATATTACGCAATACGTATAATTGTAACACACTTTCATCCACGATATCCGGTTCAATCGAATCAAAAATCGATCTTAATCTTGGATGGAACAAATCTTCATTCCAATGCGAGGAAGGAAGAACGATTGCAGGAAAGGAAAGATTCTCAGCAAGTGTGAAATGGAAAAAATACTAGGATACCCAGGGCCTTAATTTCCATGAGACGAGGATTTTTCAAGCCTCGAATTTTCTCATCCTCCATGAATTTACGCGTGGAAAATTTGATAATGACTTCGCAACAGGCGTGATCATCAAAGAGGATTATACGACCTCATTTCCCTCGTTACTTATTAAAAATTAACTCGTTTATTTTTCCGCGTCGAAGAGAAAAAAGAAGGTTGCTGAGAGAGAGAAATTATTGTTGTCTCTTTATCGCGGCCGGTTAGGGAGAGGGCGTTGAACGAGCGAAAGGATTTTTCAAAAATATGGGGAAGACGTTCCCCTTTGAGATGTTTACGAGGATACGTAAGGCGATGACGTTTCTCACCGCGTCTAAAATATAAATGGAAAGGCAACAGGTGGTCAGTGGCCATTGTGGCTGGCTGTGGAGAAAAGCTCAGCTTTCAAGCTTTCTGGTGATATATTATATTCACGTCATCAATGCAAATGCTGGGCGTGTCTGAGTTTATATAACGACGGTAATATTGTAACCCGTTGACACGCTTGCTGAAAATCCCCTTCCTTGTCACGCGATTTTGCACGCCTTTCTCTCTCCTCTCCTTTCTTATTACGATTCTTCCCATTTCCGTAATTCTTCATTCTCTCTTCATTCAGAAAATTATCGATAGATATCAATCGTCAAACGAGATCCATTATGCAACTTTAAAGATTCGATTGAAATCGGGGAAACTTTAAACCGTTATAAGATAACAGGTTTCGATCGATGAACGAAAGGTCGTTGGGAACGCGAAACTTTGCTCTTTGAAACGCTTTCTCGTTTATCTTAATACGATTCCCGAGATATCGTCGTTTAAGTGTAATTTTTAAACTTCTAGTTATCTACCTTTCGAAAATTGAAATTTGGAAAACACGGATCCATTAAATCGAAAGTTAAAATTGTTGAGATGGATAATAATTGACCTTTTTACACAAACTTTGCACAATGTTTTAAAAATGTAAAACACGACTGCGTTGGAATCGCGTTTATGGAATCGGTACGTGTCGTTGCATTAAAAACGCGTAATACGTACGTGATAATACCCGTTCGTGCACGGGCGTTAAGCACCGAATGGAAAAGGATGATCCAAGAATTGGTCGCGTCGATCGAACCGATGTATTATAACCGAGAGACGATTTTCAATCGGATAGGGTGTATCATCGATATCGGCCCAATTGTGTCGAGGATATTGCGTATGCCCCGTGTATATAAAAAGCGCTTTTGCTTTTATTATTTCTCGTTGCCGAACATTTCGGTGTCGTTGTCAAAGGATACGCGGATTCGAAAAATTTGTAAAAACTTTTTCACCCGAGCCTTTTTTTTTTTTTTTTTTTTGGTT